CCTACGAAACAACGACACTATTACGAAGGTCGAACCAAAATGTGCACTGCATGTAACCAAATAACTAAAAGAATAATTACTGTAACTATCCAAAGCTTAATAAACAGGATTTTAGCTAGCATTCACGAGAAGTAGGAAACAGGAACTCACGGACTTGGAGGATTTATCGGAAACGGAGCAATTGATGTTTCTCCAGCGGATTGTGACCGGCCTGACCTTTCCGGATGGAGGAGCTTCGGCGTCGCCGGAATCGTTGTCTAACTCATCGTCGGCGTCGTTCTCCGGCGAGAGAGCAGGGCCGGGAGCGGAGAAGACGCGGACGAGGAAGGATACGGCGACGGCGATGACGACCTGGCCAAGGCCGCTACCGCCGAAACCGGCGATCATTTGGTGCACCTTTTTCCCGCCAAAACCCGCCATATTCGTCTCTTCTCTTCCGTCTGAAGTGTGCAGTGTGAAGTGCGTGCTCCGAGCGTTAGAGGTGAAATATCCTAACGGAACGACGGCGTTTTGGTCGCTGAAGTGAAAAGCATGAGTGACGCGTGTCCACGTTTAGATAAGGTGCCTAGGAAAATAAGCACTTATGAAAACTGAAAAGAATTGGATGCTGTTTTTGTTTTCTTTTGTTGACATGAAAGCGATTTCCTTATCTCAAAGCGAAGGCCATTTGGCATTTCATCTCAAGCCAAAACAATCCCTTAACGTAAGGAGAATGGTCACCAATCGGCCATCGTATTTTGTTTTTTTTTAACTTTTAATTATTTATAAGAATGAAGTTCAATGTGAAAAAAAAAATTGAAAAATATGCTAATAAAATAGTTTGTAAGAATTGCAAGGTAATTTCATGAAAGAGTTTTACTGCGCATTATAGGTTTTATTCTCGGTGTTCATCACAAAAGGTGTAAATGAAAATTCAACAAGTTATAAATTCAATAATCTAGTGGTGGCAATGAAATGTCTAAAGAGACTAATGTTGCTAGAGTAGTACTAAGGGAATCAAAACTTTGGGATTGAAATATAAAAAATATCGGTCGCAAATGAAAGCATTTAATATATATATATATATATATATATATATATATATATATATGA